GGCAATCATAGCAATCATCTTGCGCCTTATGCTGCAGTATGTTCAGAGCCTAGCCAGGGCCCGCTGGAATGAGGAAGAATCTTCTGTGAAGCACTGGAGATGAGAAATTGGCAGATGCTGGCAGCATGCAATCCCCTTGACACAGTGGAAAGTTGGTTCAGAGGCCAGGAGACAATTACAGACTAGCAGGACTGCATAATGATGTGACTATGGGACAATCAGCAGTAGCTGCAAAACTTTTGCATGCATAAAACCACTTTCATCAAAGTTTGCAAATTGCTTTCCTGTGCTCTGAAGTGCAGAAATACCAGAATGAAACCTACTCTGACAGTTAAGAAGAGAGTGGCAATAGCCCTGTGGAAACTAGCAACACCAGACAGCTACTGGTCAGTTGGGAACCAATTTGGAGTAGGTAAATCTACAGTAGTTGCTGCTGTGATCCAAGTGGCCAAGGCAATCAATACCCTTCTGCTATGAAGGACAGTGACTCTAGAAAACGTGCAGGACATCATCACCCCTAATATCATTCTCTCTTAGACACTAACCTACCCTCCCACTCACCCCCCCCCCCCTATGTGTGTTCACTTTTTTTGATTGTATCCCTTTGGTATATATGGTCATGCCAATTTCTGCCACAATTTGATCTGAAGAAGTGTGTCTGGCCCACGAAAGCTTATCACCTAATAAACCATCTTGTTAGTCTTTTGGACTAACCCCCAATCCAGACTGAGGGCTGAGAGCCAAGCCGCAGCTGAGGCAGTTGTTGCTAATGAGGGCCCAGCTGTGGGCTATATACAGAAGGGCTCCTGGAGGGAAAGGGGAGCTTCCTGCTGCTGTGGATAGACAGCAGGAGGGACCTGGCTGCCAGGGAAGCAGAGCAGTGCTAGGGAAGGAAAGCAGGGCTGGGAAGCTCTGGCTAAGCAAGCTCCCAGGCTGCAGGGCCTGAAGCAAGGCCTGAGGCTACTGGGGCTGCGAGGGGCAGCCATGGTAGGTAAAGGCAGCATGTCCACACCCCTTTGCCAGTGATGAGTGGCCATTTCAGACTGCAGTTTGAGGCAGGGGCTAGATGAAGACTGGCAGTGGATCACTGAGGCAGGGTGGGTACAAGGGAATGGAGTTTTCCCTGGGAGGAGAGCTGGGTGCCCCTTGGGAGGACCTTGGGGTGCAAAGCTGGATAAACACACCCCCCCCAGAAGGGGGCTCAGAGACACTGGAGTGGACACTGCTGGAGGGCAGTGTCCTGAAGAGGATGCCGTGGTCCAAGAATGACACAGGTCTGGACCAGAGGGGGAAGCGAGAACACAGGGAGACACCAGCTAGAGGGAGGTGTCTAGTGAGTCGACGAGCTAATTCCAGGGCTACCGGCTGGAGGCGCCAGGGTGGTGAGTCTGCTCCGTGACAAAGAGTATAGACTTTGATATAATCAGAATATCGAATCTTCAGACCATGGTATCATATTAATGATATGACTGCCTTCACACACATGCTTTAGCAAATGATAAAACTGACCCTTTTAGGTCTTGGGAAGCTGCAGATGATCCTTGATGCAAATATGACACTTGTCATCATTGCCTGAAGCAGCACGGGCTGAATAAACGGGTATATCACATTATCCTTTAGGTCCTCAGGCTGTTCACTACTCTCTGACCCAGATGATCTGCCCAGATCTTTTCCCAGAAGGGGAGAGTAGGTCAGCAGAACTGTCCCCTCCATATGTCCTGACTGCTTTCCTAGCCACGTTTCCCACTGCTCTTGTTGGGGCAGGAGAAATAATGGTTTTGAACCCAGTATAAAAGACTAGGAATATGATTTGTTGAATGGCTACTAGACAGGTCAGGCGCTGTGGATGGAAAATGGATTTGCAGGTAGGGGGCATCTAAATCTGTTGAGGAGCATGTTGCTGTCGATATTGGATTTGGATTGGTGAAGGAGAGCATTACACTGGGGGATGGGATAATACTGACCAACAATTCTCATTGATTGAAACAGACCCTAATTTTCTCCCTATGTCCCACAGGGCAGCAGAGTTTTCCCCAATCATTAAGATCAGATTTATCTGTTAGATACCAGGCAGGCAGCCATCTTATTCACTCCTTGACAGATTTCACTGCCTTCTTGTTGGATCCCCAGCTCTGGGCAGAAGAACACAACAGACAAAGAATGGAAGCTAGAAGGGAGATAGTGGGAGGAAGAAGAAAAGGAAATTTTGGGCTGAAGGAGAGAAAAATGGCTGAGATGATATGCAAAGAATCTGCAAAACCAACGGGGAGTCCTATGGCACTAAAGAATATCAGATTTATTTAGTCAAAATAAATCTGCTAGTCTTTAAGATGCCACTCACTCCTCATTGTTTTTGCAGATATAGATTAATACGGCCACCCCTTTGAATCTGGTAGGCGATTTCCTTGCTGGAGATTCAGTTAGGAAACTGAACAATTGATTAAAAAAAAAAAATCTGAACCGAACCTGAACTCCAGGGCTTTTGAGATTCTCCCAACTTTCTTTTCTAGAATATGTATTGCACTGCAGAAGCCAATTTTGTCTTATGGTTTTGTAACACTAGTCCATGAAACAACATAGAGGAATGATGCAATGTCACAATGGTAGACCCAGGACAGAGAACGTAGCATGTGGAGAGTTATTTAGTTTCAGTTCCCTTTTTTTTTTTTTTTTTTTTTTTGTTTCAGAGGGTTGTTTTTTGCCTTTTGGACCAGTAAAAGAAAAGATCCTTAAGAAAAAACTGATAACATTTTCAGGCTTTGGGCTCCCAAAAGTTAGGATATTTCTATCGAAGTAATCTAAAAGGTATCAGACTACATACAAAAGCCTCCAGCTGTCTGCAGTGCCTCATCTTATTTGAAGAATTGCCCCTTAAAATATTTCAAAGCCTTGGCAACTATAGAATTGATGCTTGATGAGGACTGGGGAGATGCAAAGCTATTGCCGTTCAAAGGGGAGAAATGAAGGATGAGTACTTGAACTGGGTGGAAATGAGAAGTGCTGAAGGTCTGTACGGAGCACAAATAAAACATTACAAGTAGCAAGATTTCAAATTAACGTCTCGATGTTCTTCTTGGAGATCTTCCCAATAAGCAGCAGCCTTTCCTTTGATCTCCATATTATAGACATACTGTGCCCAATTCTCAGTTACACCAAGCAAACTTTACACCACTTTGGCAGTGTAAAGGGGGCTTTAAATGTTGCTTTCATATTCACTCGAGTAAGCTGGCAGGGCAGTATAACATGACCTGCGTTTTGGGAAATGGGAATGGAATAAAGCCCAATTTCAAGTAAAATAGACAACAGCAAATCTAAGGTAGCTCTTTTTTTCAAGAACGAACTTTTAATTTCTACCCTAATTAATTCTAGATGGTACTTTTCCGCTCTCATTCCAGACTGTAAGCCTACTGAAAAGTGGTTATATTATTTTTCTTTACAAACTGAATTCTGAATGGCTGCTTTGATTCAGCACCTATTTGTTCTCCATAATCAACCAGTTATCTGGGACAACCACAATTCACTCTTACCTAACCTGATTTTGAAACTTTAACTTCAGTTTAAATGGCATAAAGGATAAAAACCATCAGTATTTTTCTATACACATGCTAACTTAAAAAAAAAAAGTGGTCTATTTTTAATCACACGAAAATATGATTTTTGTTCTTTCACATTTTTTTTTTAATTTTCCAAGAGTCTTGAAGAAATAATATTGACTTATCTATAGTGGCATCAACCAGTTCAATCACAAAAGTTTTTTTAGTGGTGCCTTTTTAAAATTAAGAACTTGATTGTCAAAGATGCAAAGTATCTGCAGACCACATAGACCTCAGCTAAACTAGTAAAATACTCAGTACTACTGACAATCAGGCCCAGGATATTTACCTTCACATGAAACAGTGACAGTCAATATTTAAATACAAACCTCAAAATTTAGCTTTTAAATTCAACATTTTTATTTCATAAAAGATACAGCTGCTGCCACCCAAGAAAGCAGTATTCCAATCTCAGAATATAATGGTATAATATTATGTGAAAGAGTATTGGAAAACCAGAGTCAGCAAAGTACATCTTCTATGAAGCAGGTTGTCTTACCTAATCCCGAATATAATTTCCATGCCTCTGTGTTGCAGGAAAGCATATATTATATATACACACACCACCTGAAAATGAGTATGAGTGACAGAGTTTGGAGAAATACGAGCTTGGGTTTGAATTCACTAGTCTCTAAGGTAGTGTCTGATGACTGGCAGCTACTGTGTGCTGAAGCTATTAAACGACTTTGATGAATAATTCCGCTTTTGACGGATTCATCAGATCTTTTCATATAAACCTCTAAAACAAATATAACCCAGAATCATGTGTGCACTAGGATGTTGTTCTATACATGCATATATGAGTAACACAAGGCAGCACATAGAGAACATACACAGAAAACATGTAGTTTAGAGCCTCATTAAAGACCATTATAAGGTCACATTTCACATATTTAAAAATAAAATTATTCAGTTTTTCAACATCATTGAATGAAACTGATTTCATGATCAGAAATGCGATTTTACTACAAAAAATTGGTTTTTAATCTGTAAATGTGCTGTGTAAACCATTACTGCAGAAAACAAGACAATATAGAATATTAAACAGCCCTGTGTATTACATCTCAGTATTTTGTAACAGGGACAGAGTGAAGCAGACTTAATTAGTTCAGCCTCTCATTATAAAGCAGAACCTAATGGTAAAAGACAAATCAAGATTTTATGAGCAGATTCAGAGCTTGATCCAGTTGTTAGGTATGCAGACACACATTGCCATGCAGCCAGTGAAACTGGCTCGCACAGGCATGTGAACGAATACAGTAGCTGATTTTACAAGACACACAGCAATGAGAATGAGCATTCTGCACCTCTGAGGACATAACAAAGCCCTGACTCTGCCAGTTAAATCACTGTCACTAGGAAAGAGCGACAGGTTTTTCAAATAATTATTTCTTTGCATGGACTTACTTCAACTGTCGAGGTTCACAGTCAACTCCAGGCAGTAAAAGCCTTGCTGCTTGCCGTACATCATCACTGTCCACAGAGAAACTGCGACGGTGCCCGGCATGAGCCACAGCAACTCTTATCCATTGCATCAGGGGTGGCAGCACTATGAATGGCCTGGAAGGAGCAAAACAGGAGAGCTAGTACCATAAAGCTTTTAACATCAAGATTAGAGAGAGTGATCAAAGTAGCTCAGCACACTGCAGGCAGGTCTAACCCAGGCAGCTGACTTGCACTATTTCCAGCACAGGGAGAGGGGTGTTTTTTGCCCGTGAAACACAAACCATAGCTCATGAACTGCTTATCTTTGTGGCCCAACAAGTGGTTGCTTTAAGATCCACACATCTGCCAGGGAATCCACATGCTTCAAACTGGGTCTCAGGACAAGCAAGCAGAGCCTCACTCAAAGGAACACATCCCATTCTGGCTGATACCTGCATGTCAATCAGAACTTTCATCCCACCTTGGGGGGGATGGGGAGCAGAGGGAGGAAGAGAACCCTTGCACCTAACTGGGTAGTCAAGGGAAAGGGAGAAATGGTAGAAGTTGTGAGAAGAAGTTTCCAAATGCCACATTGTCTCAGACTGATGCAATGTCAGAATCACAAGATTATTACTTTGTGGCTCTGCAGCTCAGTGATCAAATGGCTCATAAATTGTTGAAGGCTGAGTATCACTGACCCCACTGTATTTCTGAGGTATCTGAGGGTTGCTTCACAGACCCTATTTTAAAAAGTTTACTACTGTTCAAATTAAAACTAATATAAATACAGGGCATGAAAATTGGGGAAATTATGTGCTACCATGTCCTGCTTTTCCCCCTAAATATTATGCTCAAAAGTCAGTTGTCATTGGGCTCATTACCCTTCTATAGCAGTACAGCAGAATGAAAATGCGTTATTCAATTTCTTACTACCACTATTAAAGTTACAAGCACATTACAGAATAAATTTGGTCTAGCACCAATGAGGATGTGGTTTTTTTTTTTAACTATTGTAAAACTACTAGGAGATTTACCCAGCGTTGCTCGGGTCTTTAATTTGATTTTTATTTTTATTCAAGTAAATCATTGCTGTGGGGTGGAAATGAGGGGTTCAGCAAGCTGCCTTGGGGAGAGAGAACAACCCCAGCCCTCTTTCACCACAGCAGCTTGGGGCCAGATGAGAAGTGTCTCTTCATGGCTGCTGCAGGTCCAGTGGACACAGCCGGGGGAGGGCTATATATCCCCCAGCTAGGGGACAGACTGATAAAGACACACACACACCCTTACCTATATCATAGATAGTAGTCCCTTTTTCCACCCATGCTGCCCCAATGGAGTTATAGCTGTCCCAGTCCCCATCTCTGGCCCCTTGCTGCCCCCCTGTGGTCATTTTACAGCATAACTGTCCCCACTAGCAGATCCCTCCCTTTTCATTTTATGAAAAACAGTTGTATTCCAGGGAAATCCCATGGTCCTGGCACAACCAAACCCATACCTTGCTTTAAGGTGTGATAAGAGGAGGCTGCATACAAAATTTGGTGGTCCTAACTCCTACCATTTAGGAAGAGTTCTTGAACAGGTGGACAGACAGACAAACTCTCTCAAATACATGGTACATTATATTGACTTAACTATTCCTAGTATGCACACTGCCTTGTTAACACTACCCACCACCCTCAGCCATATCTGAATATGGTTTGAGCATTAGTATAGACAGGGCCAAAAGATGTGCAACTCCCATTCCCAGAAAGTCCATTCAGCACACTGTTCTACCAGGAGTAGATGCTGCTTTTGTACCTAAGCCTTTTGAGGAAGACTTTGGAAGTTTAATAACAAGAAAGGTAAGGTTTATTCTCCTCCCTCTTTCACAGAGCTTACATTCTTCTACTCTGTCTCTTTCTCCCTCTTCCTGGCGGTGTCCTGGGAATTATCATTCCTAGACTCAAAGCTACAGAAAACACACAACAACAAACTTACAAACTGAGGTAGCTATCTGCATCTAGCTATATTCAACACACCCTTCCCATTGAGAATCACCTTTAAACAGTCATTTCCAACTGTTACTCGAGTCTGGTAACAAAGTTTTTCAATCTTTTAGGCCTGTAGTTCTCAAACTTAATTGCACTGCAATCAAGAGGGGGGGAGGGGAGATCAAAGTCTAATTCCCCCAGCGCTGCCAGGGCCACTGGGAGATGGGGGCGGAGGTGACCTGAGCCTCATTGCCCTGAGTAAAGGGGAAGGGGCAAAGTCAAAATCCAGGGGCTTTAGTCCCAGTAAGGGCCTGTAACCTGAGCCCTGCCACCCAAGGCTGAAATCCTCTGGCGTCAGGTGGTGGAGTTTGGGTCTTTGGCTTCAGGCCCAGCCTTAGGCCCTAGCAAGTCTAACACCAGACCTGGCGGGTCCATTAAAACAGGGTTGTGGCCCACTTTGGGGTCCCAACCCACAGTTTGAGAACTGCTGGTTTAGGCAGTCTCCCTTGTCTCCTACTTCTCTCAATACCTGGAGAGGCAGGAATGAGATTAGGCGATGGTGCTATTCTTACTGCTATAGATTGTCAATCATCGCTATCAGCATCATCACCATCTCAGAGAGGCAAAAAGTCATGAGAGAAGGCAAGGCACTTCTGGACCTACCGACCTAGCTAGTCAATGGATGGCCTTACAAGACAATGACACCAGCAACCATAGAGATGTGAACTGTCCCTTGTCAAGGAATGGATTTTGGAAGCTGACTGTCTTTTTGTGCCTACACTTCTGAGAGAACAATTGAGTCACCTTGCATATGAAGGACAACTCTAACCAAATCACTATTGTGACAAGACTCCCGGTGGCCAGGGACACAGAAGCAGATTGAGGAACTAATCAAGAACTATATGATTTCCTTTCTTCTTTCACTCTCCCCCTTTCATTTGATGTTCTTTTTCCTTGCTTACCCTTCACTCTGTATTCCCTTTTCACAGAGCATTAAAAAAGCTCATTTGACTGAGTTCAGTGTCTACTGGGAAAATATTTTAAATTTTACATACACAATCTTACTCAGGAAGTACCCATCTTGGGACACCTGATTTAATAGGACGTTTAGCCCTTGGAACATTTTCTTCCCCATTCATAGCTTTTTAACTAACATGATTCCCTTTATTCTTCTGTTGAAGACTTTTCTTTGTACCAGTCTGTCATTAACATTCTTAAAGGGAGAGGTTTTCAAAAGTGCCTAACAGACTTAGGAGTCCAAGTACCAGTGACTTTCAAGGAGGCATATGCTCCTAAATCCTTCAGACCCTTTTGAAAATCTCCTCCTAAATTATTGAGTCATTTGCTGACTTGACATAGAATCATTTTCAGTTAAAAAAGTATCAGCCTCTATTCTGAAGCGTGACTAATAGTTTTGGGGGCCTTTACATTCTCAAGACCTTGCCACTGAATCCTGGAGTAGCTGACGAGAAAGGAATGCATCCTTCCAGGCTCCCAGGAGAAGATTGTTCCACGAACCACTTAATTTGTAATGACAGTAGTGATGGTGGTCAGAGCTGGGAGAGAGCCTGTGTGACTACAACTGCTGGCTGCTTTAAAGAAAAGCTGCTGGGAATATTGTAAAAAACATCTGGCTGTAGTGCAAACAGTTCTGATTAGCATGTGTGCTTGTGGCTGAGCAGAGAAAGGGGCTGAGGTTTGGCCTTTATACCTCCCAATCCAGGATGGGTACGTCTACACAGCAGTGTTATTTGGGAATAACGTCAGGATATGCTACAAGCAGTTATTTCAACAATGTCAAAATCATGTCGAGCGGGAGCACATTTTACTCTGACTCTTGGAACCCTCATTTTACGAGGAGTAAGGGAAGTTGGAGGAAGAGTGCTCTAAATCGGACTTCCTGCTGCGTAGACAGTGCCAAAAGCCAAAATAAGCTATTTTGACTTAAGCTACGCAATTGACGTAGCTCAAGTTGTGTAGCTTATTTTGGCTTTCGCCCTGCTGTGTAGATATGCCCCAAGTTAACAAACAATAGATAGCTGAGGGAGCAAACAGAGCAAGGAGCTGGCCTAAAGAAGCTCAGAGATAATTCACCTGATGTAAAGAAAGTTGAAAAGCACCAGAGACCTTGACATCTTGTTTAAACCTAGTCAAAGCAGCCCAAGCAATAAAGTGGTAAATAAAGTTACCAAACAATAAGTTGAAATCAGGGTGGGTTAGTCCCATATAGCCTGTGAAGCCAGCAAGCCAATAGCTATATAGTCCACATAAAGAACTCCCAGTTTATTGCATCATAAACTAGTCACTCAGGATTCAAGCACTAGCTGAACTAGATTAGAACCACTGCACACCTGGTTACAGAACTCTGCAACTTTGTCCTCACCCACAACTACTTCAAATTTGGAGACAATTTGTATCTTCGAGTCAGCGGCACAGCCATGGGCACCTGCATGGCCCCACAATATGCCAACATCTTTATGGCTGACCTTGAACAGCATTTCCTCAGCCCTTACCTGCTAGCACCCTTATTCTACTTACCTTACATTGATGACATCTTCATCATATGGACCCACGGGACAGAGACCCTTGAAGAATTTTTCAGAGATTTCAACAACTTCCACCCCACCATCAACCTCAGCCTGGATCAGTCCACACAAGAGATCCACGTCTTTGACATTACAGTACAATTACATGATGGACACATTTCCACCACCTTATACCAGAAACCTACTGACCACTACACTTACCTTCATGCCTCTAGCTTCCATCCAAGACACATTTCTCAATCTATTGTTTACAGCCAAGCCCTAAGATACAACTGGATTTGCTCGAATCCCACTGACAGAGACAAACACCTGCAGTATCTATATAGAGCATTCTTAAAACTGAAATATCCACCCAGAGAAATGAAAAAACAGATCAACAGAGCCAGAAGAGTACCCTGATATGAACTACTTCAAGACAGGCCAAGAAGAGAAAACAGAATTCCACTCATCACCTATAGCCCACAACTTAAACCCCTCCAACGCATTATCAACAATCTACAACCTATCCTGGAAAATGACCCCTCAAAGGTCTTGGGGGAAAGGCCAGTCCTCACCTACAGACAACCTTCCTAATCTCAAACAAATTCTTTCCAGTAACCATGCAGCACACCTCCATTAT